TACATAGCCAACGGCTGATACAGGACTATAATGGAATAATAATAATAATAGTATACCATCATCTTTAGTGCTCTTCTGCCAAGACATTGTTAACGCCTATCTCCGTGCCTAGGCATATCCGTCACTCTTGAACCTCTGTCGCGATAGCAATAGCAAGTATGAAGCTGCTTTGAACAACTTATGCCGCAAGGCATTCGAATTCAACATGGACTATGCATCAATTCCTCCAGAGATTAATGTGCTGCTACTTGGTGATGCAGAAGTCGGCAAGTCGACATTCTTATCGTAAGTCTGGCAAGCGTCACGCGCCGTTTGGCGCTTCCCATAGCACGCCTATGAAGGCTGCATCTCATGTGAATGATAGCGCATAAAAGCCATCGCTTACACTGCTGACATGGTAATAGGCGCCTGAGCCTTGGTATCCAACCTCGAGGTGACGACCTTCCACCGTACGAGCTCCCAACGTTGCGCGATATAGACCAGCCCTACGCTTTCGACATCTCACTCTACGGCCGTCCATATAGAATCCAGTTCTTCGATACCGCTTCGCCTTACAACTACACTCTCCTGAAGCCTCAATTCGTGATCCTCTGCTACGACATCTCCTCGCGCGCCTCGCTTGAATCCCTATCAACGACATGGCTGCCTATTGTGAACAAGCACTTCAACTATGACGAAAATCTGCCGGTCATGGTCTTGGGACTGAAGAGGGATCTTAGAAAGCAATGGACGATAGAGGAACATGGGCAGGATAAGAAAGGCAAAGGCGCTAGCGTTATGCCGCATGAAGGGGTGCAGACTGCACAGCAGATGCTTTGCGATCGCTATGCAGAGTGCAGTGCGCTGACGGGTGAATTGTGCCGCGAAGTGTTAGAAGATATCGCGAAAACAAGCGCGAAGACGACAACGGAAGCTGGCGCAAAGAGTCAGGGACCAGATATGTGTAATGTTATGTAGTCTTCAAGACGTGGAGACTGCACACACCGTGTGCCATTAGTACCATTTGGAAATTGCTTGAAGTGTTATAATCTGCTTCTCAGTTCCGTTGGTATCCGCTTTGTACTTGCTGTGGAAGAACCACTTGTGCCATTGGTTTTACAGCACGAGTGCAAAAAGACAGCAATACCCAGAGCTTCGTTCATAGACTAAAATGATATCACCAGAGCTATCACATACATTAATGTCTGATGCAAGAAGGAAAGCAAAAAAAGTTGGTTGGTGCGACACCTGTGTGATTCGAACACACGCTCCCGAAGGAACTGGCTAACTTTCCCATACAGGACTAGCAGGCCAGCGCGTTAACCACTCCGCCAAAGTGCCGAGTTGTAATGAACTGATGACAAATCAACGATTTAGCCAATATCTATAATCTATGTGTGTCATGTTCACTATGCGGCTGCCACAAAGCCATTGGTTGGGGTTGGCTTGCTGACTGTGTGGCGGCGCATGTCTGTGAAACCTGAGTTCGTTTACTGGATGCCTCGTGAACAAAACTCCGAAGCCAAAAGCGAGCGTCCTGTTTTAGGTACACACGTATCGCATTGCATTTGCGATCTCTCAGGTGGCACAGTGGATCGTAATCCGTATCCATGTATCGGTAATGGGTGTGGTTTTCAACGAAAGAACTTGTCGGCGAACAAGATCGCGCACGAGACGATAGGCATTGTCTGTTGTGCTTATAGGCAGCACGATATGTGAAAGCTCAAGAAATCAAGGCGTGAAAATTTGTGTGAAAACTCACTTGCTGTTCTTGTTTCAGTGACCATTTTCGGAACTATTCTATAATAGGTTAGATCAGTATTCCCGTCTTTGCTGTGGACATGGCCAATCTCAGCGTTAACGGGCATGCATATGGGTGCAGAAAACTGAGTCTCAGACAAGTTAGTTAGGCATGACTCATGTACTCGAGAGCATGATGTTTGATAGTGAGGTATCGCTAAAGAGGCAGCAACAGAGCTTCGCCTTGCAAAGGCCAGTTAAAGCAAAGGAAGTCAGCGCATTCTAAAATCAGGGTGTACCTGAGCAGCGCTAGCCAGTGTGTGACGAATGTTGAAGGGGACACTGCGAGTCTATGCAGAACTATTATCAGTATACTGCGGCTTTAGTTGCACGCCTATAAATTTGACTTCGATGCAAATATTGGTTTTGGTTTCGCCAGACGTACATACCTTGCAACAACTAATAAGACAACAGCGCATGGGGCAACGTGTCGAGACGCTTTTCGTCACATCAGTCGCTGCGTTGTTTGTGACGACACTTCACACCAGTCATGATTTCGCTTGACGGGTTGTCCAATCACACGTCACTCGTTCCTGCATCTTGGAAGTGAGAGTGGCTCAAGCTCCGCCCCATTACCACAACATCAACAATACTTGACACTCATGTCCCACCTTTGTTTCTCATAAGAATCCACAGGCAATGAATCCGACACTATACACCACGGGATGTTCTCTGTCCCCGCTGTCAACGCAGGTGCTCAGCCTCGAAGGCGCGACGCACCTATATCGCAGATAGTCAGTGCTTTCAGCCTTTCCACTCACCATCTCAGTCATCAGCATAACCCGGATGATGCGTCACGAAATCCAACTTTCATTGTGTGGCCATGCCATAAGCGACATCCAACCAAGCTCCCGAGAGTACTCCAGGCAGTGCGCATAACGAGACGAATCTTGTCTTCCTGGCTGCGCGTCGTAGATGCCAGAAACACAAAAACAACAGACGCGACTGGACTCAAATCACGGCCATTTACGGAAGCATACAAGACCTTGGAATCATCAGACTTTCGATGAACGAACAAATACTTTCAACTGACGATAAGATTACAACTTTCTCAGCTTGTCCAGGCAGATAAATATTCATCGGAAGAGATCAACTCTTTAGAAAACCAAACTCCAAATCCCAGGTCATCAGAGGAACCAAAAAGTATATAATAAGATCATCAGAGAGCCAACCCAGAGGCAATATGCGCGCTAAATCCATACTCCGGCAAAGAGAACATGATACATCTGCCAAGGTACAGGGTATAAGACAGAAGCTTTTCGAAGACCCGGTCGTGGTATCAAAGCCACGGCTGGCGCATGCACCGCATCAGGTGCTTCGTCGTATTCGTTGGGTGATCGGGATGGGTGCATTTACGAAGACATTGGTCTCGTCAGCAATACGAGATTGCTTCTCTTCGTATTCGAGAGAAGACATCTTCAGATCCTCAATTTGAGCCTGTACTTGTCAGTCTCCAAGCAACATTATATGGGCCAGGTCGTGTACCTTGGTTAATGGAGGCCCAATTGTCGTGATCAAGAAGCCGTCACGTCCCTGGCCAGCGGATCAGCACTTGTCATATAGTGCAAGAGCGACTACCAAATACCTGGAAAGTGTAGGGACGCACTATCGCATCCGGGCCGCAATGGTATCGGATCTCATTCTGGATGACGGCTCTTGAGATGCCAAAGCCTGGCACAAAGTAGGAGTTGGGTACCGCCATGTTGTTTGAGTTGGATTGTTCACGAGAGGGGTTTATGATTGGGGCCGGACTATGTTCTTCGTTGCGTGCGGGTGGTGGAATTGAGGTTGGGCACGCAGAAGACTTATACACATGACCAAAGGCCTCCTGTCCCGGATCCGCTTACACATAACCACTTACACACCGGACCCTCTCGGGGCGAAGGTGCGACGCATCCGTTGCGACCAAGTCCTCGTTGGGCGTGGACGCACTGATGCCTTTCGCCTCATTGTTCGCCCTGCTCAGCCCAACCAACGCCATTGGGCAGCGAGAAAGACCGAACCGCAGGACACCCTTTACAAATCGACCGCTCACAAAGCTTCCTAACTCGTCAAGAAAACCTGGCATCTTTGACAGTCCATGGCCGAACTCGATATGCATCACATCTCGGCATTAATGTGTGAGAAAGCCAGCACAGCTGCCACGTCTATAGATTCGGGTTGTACAGAACGACTGCAGACACTTTAAGACGATCTCTTTGCCACCGCGACCTTTGGAGAGATTTACAACACTCTCTTCTTCGCTTTACACCCTCCCTAGAGGCATAATCTGACCGGCTGATGTTGACGACGCACCAACAGCATCTTGGCGAACACACATACCATGCCGATCATCGTTCAGAAGGCGTTCCATGATTGACGCCGGCTATCATCCCACGGTGTCCACACCAAGAGGACGGTGACAAGGTGTGAGCAAGTCGGCTCTGCTGGTTTCACCGCTAGATTCCTCGGGCACAAGGTCTCCATGGTCGTGGGGAGCAGGGAGACCCCTTCAGGTACGCCACACACTGGGTATGGTTGCAGCAGAATGGTACATGAATATGCGAAGGCCAAGCTACCCCAGCTTTCATACTGAAATACCATTCGCCTACTCACAAGTGTTACGCATCAACCCTACTTAGGCATCCGGGCTTCTCCCACGGTGGACCAACGCAGCGCCAGCACGAAGTGGCAATACACAGCCTGACCATGATGTAAGCTTGGGTTACCCCGCTTGTCATTATCAACACAATCCGGTGCCGCCAGTGGGAGTAACCGCAATGCAGTATGGAGGTGGGTGATGAAACGCTCAAGAGTCGTCACTCTTTGTTGGATGTGAAACTGCTCGCGGCTGGGGCTTACACCCATAGCGTACTCGGAGCAGAATGTCTTGCCTAACCGATGCAGTGCAAAAACCACGCTTTGCTTTTTCCGGGCTTGCTATTCCATTCAAGATCGTTACCGGATCGGCAATCTGGTGACGGTCACGGCTCTTGGAGAGGGTGCATGAATCGCGTACACGTGTGCGAGGGAGACGAACATGTGCCCAATGCCCGAGATCCAAGCACCTGTCACGGTTACAGGGCATACCCTCCATGCGTCGGGCTTACCGCGCAAGTTCTGCAATGCAATCTGCTCATACGCCAACTCACCTTGCATGAGCCCGAATCCAAACGACATTTGACTGCTTTGACTGGCATGATGCCTCCAAAACGAAAGGATCTACGACTACAATTCACTACTATAGAAGACGTGGAACCGTATAGGAACCTCTGCTATCGGTATTACTGCGGGCGTACAAGGTGCCCTGCTACGGGATATGCAGCATCACGCCATACTGGACAGGCACGGCATTGAGCATTTTAACGATGAATGGAGATTCTGCACAAGGTGACGTAGCCCGGTATACTCTGCAATTCGTGCAAGATGCAGCCGGAGATTCCATAGCTTCGTCGGGAGTATGGCGGCGATGGATCTGTCTCTATAGCGGTATGGTAGGACGCATGCGGGGTAGTAGTACTACGGACAGAAAATCTGCGGGGCGGGAGAATCACCTTCCCCGAGCAGAGTAGTAAGTATGTCTGCCGATGAAAATGCGCCCCGTTCTCCGAAGCCGCTCGCCTACGCTCGGGGGATAGGCAAAGAGCTACTGTATTCACCACGAGGCTGCCTCGGTTCCTGGCCAGTGCAGTCACCGGCGTGGCCTGCAGCCGGGACATGGCCCCACCTTTGGATTTCACGATAACGACAAGTCTCGACGTGTTGGCCGAACAGCCATTGTGAAGCATCACTTTCTGGAGATTGTATGCCCAGTTGCCACGCCGAATCAAAGACGCGTCACATTCCTGTGTGTGCCATGGATGCCAGGATACCTAGTTCTGTCGCCTTAAGTTCCCGTTGATAGCAGCACCGGATGCGGAAAGGCCCTAGCGATGGACCGCTATTGACCCACAAACGTCGTGTCAATGGGACGCTGCCGCCTCCCGCCCTTTTCTTTCAGATTCCCGCTGTACATGTGTACGTGGTGATGCCAAAAGACGCCTCATGTGGTGATTGGGTAGGGTCAGTCACAAGAATGAAGCAGGGATAGAGATACAGCTGGGCGTGGATCCATACCACATGCAAAGAATTGCAAGCGCGCGCTGGCTTGGAACGAGCAAGATGGGGGTATCCACTTAGCATCAGGCTCCCTCCTTGCATGTACCTGATTTGCAGGCACCAGGAGACGCCACGAAGGACGACTTGGTATCTTTGATACGAAACAGGCTTTGCTCCAAAGAGGGACACCGGTCTTCTTGTTGGATCACAAGGACGTATTACCATGTGCATCAGACCAAAGGGCTTGAGATGTGTTATTCCGGGACCATTTTTTTCACTTCTGACAGGTTTTCCGGTGTCTCAATGGAGTGAATGAATGCGCCACATGGAGCTTTGGGGGCTAGTCATTGACTTGGAAAGTGAGGCCACTAGGTTCACGAGGACGGCTGCAAAATGCCGATCATACTGCCAGCAGAGCATGTCGGCAACGGGACGAGGACGCATCCGTTGTGGAACGAAAAAGGAAGACAAGAACATTCCAATGATGAGGCGTAGTGCGAGGAGTGGAATATGAGGGATTTTCAGTCGGGACGGTGCTGGCTGAAGAGTAGTCACCTGGGGTCGTGTGTGGTGTTGAAGGAAATGACACGCGGACAGTGAGTGGCGTAAAAATGAAGAGCTAGTAAAAGAAGAAGCCTTTGCTTTTGTTGGTATGGCATTTTCCATCTGCTAGTAGGAGATGGATGGTGCAAAGGGAGATTGGAAGGTGAGATTGTAATATCCGGCCCGGTTCCGAGGCTGGATACACGACTCTAACAAAAGCCCTTGGACAAATTTCACCTTTGTATATTGCTTCGTTTTCTGGTCTCTTGGATGAATACCTCTAGGTGTTTCTTTTTCCACCGGGCTTGAGGGGTATCGATATTACTTTGGCTTCCTTCATTTCCCAAGTGACGAACGAGGATACGAGACGACAATAAAGACAATCTCTTGCTCTTGGGCAGACTTTAGAGATGGGCAATCTATGCGAGACGCAGGTGATGCTACAGTCGCATGCAAAGGTGACATGTTGAAGCCCAAGACGGGTTGTGTGTAGATGGATGCACAGCCGCCGTGTATTCTTTTTACATGTCCTTTGTTGTCACAGAACAATGACGCGTCAACAGGGGAGAGGATGAAGTATAGAGTCTCCTTTGCATCTACTGCCTTGCTTATAGTGATGATGACAATGGCAATGGTGATGTTGAGCTGTTGAGGTGGAGCTGCGATGATGAGGCATGGGCGTGAGTTTGGTTGAATACGGGTAAATGATGGACTAAGGATCAAAGTTGGACATGAGTCGAGAATACAGTTTGTGGGCTATTTTCAGCCGTTCGAGCGGATTGAATGGTGGGGGAAGGATAATAGAGTTTGAATGACGAAAAGGAAAACATGGAAAGTGGTGGAGGTGGATCTGAAGCCAAGGCAAGCCACGGGGGTGAAGACAAAGGGTAGTTGGTATATAGTTGCGACGGCAAATGCACAAAAAACGGTATTAATGTGGTTGGAAAGAAGTATATGTTTAGGCAAAAAAGGGGTGCTTGTGCATAATGGACGAACTATTGGAAAGCAAGTGCAAGCGAGAGAGAACAGGCTATTGAAAAAAAAGTGCGCAGAATGGTTAACAGATAGCTGGGCCTATAAGATGGCTGCAAGGTTGAAAATGCAAAAGAGTGGATGGCAGGCATGCCGAGGGCCAAAGAGGGAGGTGAGATGCGGCGGTCTCGACCGTTTGGGATCGGCAGCGACAGGGAAAAAAGCCAAAGTGGAGGGGACAAGGGGCATGGCCCATGATGGTATACGCAGTTGTTATGTCTTTGCGAATGGGACACAGTAAGACGGGGGGAGGCGGTAGAAGGTGGCGCGTCGTCGACTTGTGGCGCGGCTGAGGCAAAGGAAATGAAAGGATGCGGATACGGGCTCAGCCCACAGAGGCCGATAACGACAGGCTTACAGCTTGTTTGGCAGACAATGTTTAACAGGGTAAGCCGATAGAAAGACAGATGCAGCGACCAGGACCGTGGTGTTGAGGAGGAGCCCGGCAGTTTGGGGAATAGAGGTGTACAGAGAGAGATGTGTTGAGGACAGGCGTGCCAGTGGCTTGCGGCAACAGACGAGTGGCAGCAGCCATGATAGGAGGACATGTGTACATTGCACTGAAGATATTACTCTCGTGGCTTGCTGGCGACGACTGGGCAAAAATCTAGACGCGCAGTCTGACGAGGACGGGGGCCAATCACAGCGGGGGGCTGGCACAAGGTTGAGGATTAAGCAGCTGGGCGCGAGTTCGCTGTGTTCGCGGCAGCTCGCACGGCTGGGCCTTGCAATAAATAGATTGGGCCGAGGCCGCTTGACCACGAACGGACGTGTTGGTGGTGAGGATAGGGCAGTTGGTCCGCTGTCCGCTGCTATTTGGCGGTGCATGCGCCGACCCTTTCACCACCACCGTTTATATGATAACCTGCTAGCCCACACGCCTAATCGCCGCCTGCCGACGGCTTGCTACACCATCGCCAACAAGACCGACTGCCCTTTGCAAGAAGCATAGACGAGTCCCTCCGGTGGAGTTTGACGCTGTCCCACGCCGGGCACCTTGCAGCCTCTGGCCCTCGCGGAACGAGACGAAACACGCGCGGCCTCCCTGGCCAGCCAGACACTCTCGGCCCTTGCCCACCCCCCATACCCTCATCTTACTGTACAAGCCCGCCGCCGCCGCTGTGCACCCGCCCAACACGGCCCTGCCTCTTTGTCTCTTCCTCCACCCTACACACACACCCACCCACCCTCGCGTCGCCGCCGCCCTTCTTTGCTGCGCGACCGCCCGCCCGTCTTTGTTCGCCGTCACTCGTTATCTTGTCTTCTGTTCTTCTTCGTCTTCTTCTTTGCGCCGCCTTCCTTCACAACCACCCACCCGACTGCACTCCACGCGCACCGTTATTTCCGCCAAAAGAGCCCTGATCTACCCGTAACCAGCCACTGCTGCACCCCGACCTGGGCGTGTCCACGGCTGACTGCTGGCCCACGTTGCTTCTTCTTCATCTCCTTGCCGTACTTCTTCTTCGTCATTTTCGCCTTCACCATCATCATCATCATCATCATCATCAGCAGGGTCCGCTGATCTCCTAACCGCCCACCATGTCTATCCGTGCGCTTCGAGGTACCATCCGCACCCGCCAGACGATCCCACATGGCCGCATGCTAACCTGCTGCCAGACGCCGAAAACGTCTTTCGGATAGAGAAGCGATGCAAGCTGTGTGAGCAAGCACCACTGTCCTGCGAGGGCATCAAGTGCCCGGCCAACCAGGTCTGTGTCCAGAACTCGCGAACATGCGACGAGTGCGCCTCCGTCAACTGCCAGGTCGACCCTACCATTGCTCCCGCTGAGCCCAGCAAACCAAACGTCGGCGCCATCGCCGGTGGTGTTATTGGAGGTATCCTAGTCGTCGCCATTCTCACATTCGTAGTTTGGAAGTACTGCCTCAAGGGCAAGAGGAGGCCCATTTCCCAGCAGCCCGAATGGAACGATGTCGACGTTGTCGAGCAAGAAAAGGACAACGACTTCGAGTCGCGCCGCAGCGCCCGCGCATCCACACACACCGTCGCTTCCATGGCCTCGTCCGTCCTCACTCGCGCCTCAAACATTATCCAAATCGCCTACATTCCCGGCGTCACCAACCGCTCGGGCAACCCCGGATCTCCCGACCTGCTTGTTCCTCCCGTCCCTCCGATCCCCTCCATGTCGCCTTCATCGGGCAAGAGCAGCCCTTACTCGTCTGCCGACCAGCACTTCTTCGTCCCCGACTTCCGCGACTCCATGATGTCTTCTAGCACTGCCGGCCGCACCAGCATCGCACCCAGCCTTGCCCAACGAGGCAGTGTCGCATCCACCATGTACCGCCAGAACGCCATTGTCTCTCCACTTCCTGCGCAGACCATTGTGCGTGGCAAGGCCGCCGTTGTTAGCGTAAAGTCGACGGGATCAAACAGCCCAGGAGAAACACCCACCCAGACACCACCAGTACCATCGATCGACCCCAAGCACTCTCTCAAGCCCATTCGCATCCAAATGCCCGGTATCAGCCCAGCCAACTCTGTCCGTAGCACCGCCCAGCTCGGTCCGGTCAAGGCTCTACATATCACCAAGAAGAAGAGCTCAGAGATCACGCCACCAAAGAGCTCAAGCTCAACCACGGATACCGAACGAACCCTAGTCAACACACCCGAACGTCGCGCCTCGGCCGGACGACCTCTTACTGCCAGCTCCACGCTCTCATCCGACGATGGTAGGGAACACTCGCGCGCACGCAGAGGAAGCCTGGCATCAGACACTGAAGACGAGGAGGACGACCACACACGCGCAAACCAGACACTCCTTAGCAAATCACCCAACCGTGATTCCGATGTCACCGAATTCCAAGACACAACTCCCCACATGGACAACAGCCCCTTTTCCGACAACTCATCGCTCGATAACGCCCGACCCATGATGTCTCAGCGCATCACATCCTACGACCCGTCGTCTGGCCTCCGCACCCCAATGACACCCATTGTCGAAGAATCATCCGCTTCGAAGCGAGGCAGCACCATCTCCAACCGAAGAGATACCAGTCCCTTTGCAGACACCAACCGAAGTGAACTGTAATCGAAACATTTTTTTTTCGATTCTCTTCACAACGGGAGGGGGGACTTGATGTCACGGGTCGACATTGAAAACCCACCCAAGTCCGGCAAGGCTGGGCCGAGCTAGTGTTTTTGTTCTTGCATTCTACGAAATCAAAGGGGTCTAGGGACTATGTGTGTGTGTGTATGGACCGAGGTCTGGCATCTCGGGATGCCATTGTCTTCGCTCTCTCCTTTCATCCTGTCTTGGATACCCCCTCTCTTCATCTTTTCTCTGTGCGCCTCCTCTCTATCTTTATCTAGATGTGTGCCTCAGAGTGTGTCTGTCTGTCTTGACCTCGCCCGTTCATTGATATCCCAAGGATCTTTTGCTTGTTGCTTCTTTTTTTTTCTTTCTCTTCCTTTCTGGAAGGTCATGATCTCTTTTTTTTCTACTTGTCTATACTTGACGTCTAGCGCTGACGTACGTTTTCCTTTTTTTTTCTCTTTTTTTATATTTTTCCACATGTATCTATGAGGAGGGTGGCTCTCTCTTTGTGTGAGTTGAGTTGAAGTGTTGAGTACGTGAGAGGAAGTTGAGGAAGGAATGAAGGAAGTGTAGATGGGGAGATGTAGAAAGTGAAATAGCAAAAAAAAGTCAAGAGATGAGAGAAACAAAGTTTTCTTCTGGTCCTTGCTTTATATGTTAGAAATGCAGTAGTGTTGATATATTATCAATTCCTCCTTCCATCCCTAATCTTTATCTTTGAAAATCATATACACATATCTCCTCTTTGCATGTACATGTCTGTATCTCCTTCAATCTTTCAATTCCTCAAAACCCATCTACACCCCCCCCCCTCCTTCTTTCCCACAACCATGTACGCCCCACACTCATCTAACTCCCCCGATACGTCGTATACCCAAACGGCCCCAACAGCACCGGAACATGATAATGCTCCGCCTTCCCCCCTTCCCTCACTACAAACTTGACCTCGACCTCGGGAAAAAACGTGGCTATGCCCCTTTGTCCAAAATACGCTTCCGTGTCAAACGTCAATCCATACCGCTGATCCCCCGCTTGTGCGAATGCTTCGGACAGTGTGGTGGAGGAGAAGGGGGTTGAAGGCGTCCAGGCGGTTACGCGACCGTCGCTGTTTGTTGTTGCAGTGAAGGTTAAGGTTGAACTGGAGGTGGAAGAGGAGGAGGAGGGGGAGGGATGGAGAGTTAGGGTTACGGGGATGTTGGCGGCGGGGCGGCCGATGGTTGTGTCGAGGACATGGCATGTAATTGGGGGTTTTGCGGGGGTGGTGGTGGTGGTCATTGTTGTGGGCGTTGGTGTGTTTGTTGCGCTGGGAGAGGAGAGGTGCGAGAGGAGGGAGGTTAGGCGGGGGGTTGATGTTGGCATTCGCTTGTGAGGATGGTGGAGAGGGCGAGTTGGGTGAGGAAGAGGTTGGAGGTGCGGCGGTAGGTTGTGAGGAAAGGTGGGTGGGTTGTGTATGTACGATACCCCTCCAGCCCACCGCGTCGGAGCTCCCCGGTGCTAGGCAGGTACCGAAACTGCGACGGCTATGGTGTGTTGTTGCATTTTGCGTCGCTTTCAAGGTTGCGATTGGTAAGGGAAGTCATGCGAATTGATGGATTGGCTCTTGTGTTTGTAGTTTTTTTTCTTTTCTCTGCCGGCATGATGAGATTGGAGAGTTGTCTGTTATCCTGGCTCCATATCTCGTGCTATGCGCAAACAGAGTATGTTTGTCGAGCGAATGTATCGATAATCAGGATCTTTTTTTTTTACCAAACAAGAAGCGTTGGAAAGAATTAATGGTTGTGTACAGAGTGAATAAAAAAACAATATCAGCGTGTAGTTTTGTTTGGCATGTAGACTTGGTATTGTAATCTCCTGGGAAAGAGCGACTTGGGGTTTTACACTCGAACGTACATGCCTTTCGTCAACATCTGGAGCACATAAAAACGTGTGCACGTGCGATAGATTACTGCGTAATCGGATAAACACAAGCTTATGCAGAGAGTAGCACGCGTGCTATGCGCTTAACAGATTCCGAAAGAACCATAGCGCGATGATCTGCTGAAGATTACTCTTGATATTCTACACTTCTTGATTATATTCTAAATCTCATATTTTCGGTATAGCTACAGTGAGTGCAGTCCTATACACTACCTGGGCAATCCTATCCTTGTTTCTCATGTAGCGTCAAGACACGAACTTCACCGTGTCCTCAACGCCTTGAAAGCGAGTCATGACGTCCAAATGATCAAACGTGACAGACAACGTTTGTTTGTCTCATCTTAGCGGTACACTAAAAGATATCGTCGATTGACAAACAATTCAGTTGAACTCGAGACAGTTTGACTGCAAGTAAGCTTTTTTTGTGTCCTAGACCGTGTTGGGAAAGGGGGTTAGGTGTGATAGTGATGGATTCATGGCTAGACCACTTTTCCGACACGGGACCGTGGTCGTGGGATAATTGCAGTGCGACATAATGTCCACCTCATGGGTCTCTTCCCATAGACGACAGGGTATCGCATCGTTGCTAGATATCAACATACTACGTCCATGCATCTTGGGGCCAGTAAGAACAAGTTCAGCCGCGGACTCGTCAACAGCAGAAAAAAATCATGTCGTTGTCTACACTACACTTACTGCATGTCGCCCTGAATCATAGGCGTGGTTGGCTGGTAGTACTTAGTGGGCGTATTGACGGGAAAAAGCACCGTGCAGCAAAGTTAAAGTGTCAGCAAAGCTGGAAATAGAAGCGATCGTTTCCGATCACTTCTAGACCGACTGCAAATGATTCAGGCAGGTTAGAGAAGGTGGTGTGTAGCCGAGTGCTGGGAGCAAAAAAAGCATGGCGCGAGAGTTGCGGTATGCGTGATGTGGAGAAGGTGCCAGAGTGACGCAATGATGAAAGCAGGTCGACGAGGGACGTGATTTTCATGATTGCTTTGGACGGACATGCTGCAGGTGCTAGCAGCGGCCCATGCCTCGAGTGCTTTGTTGATTGCTGATTGTCAGAGTAGTCGAGAGTATTGAGCAAAAGGAATGCGAGTCCGGGGAAGCGGCAAGCCACCTATTGCTTTGATATGCACCGGTTCACGCCTTGGTTAGCGAACTAGCAGGGAGACAATGGTTAGCTCGCGTGGGCGCATCAAAGGCAGGCCCCCCTGAGCAGAAGGGGCAGGCCGTGGTAGCAGATGGAGCATCTGTCCGTGTCGCTGAAGGGGAGAGGGCAGTGGCTTGGCGATGGTTGGGATCGCGATGGACATGGGAAAAAACAAGGCCATATGGTGGACGGGGGCAGGTGATTGGTAGGGTAGCGGCGAGGCCCGCGGAGAGGATGCTCTGGCATGCCTGGAGCCGATACAAAGGAGAGGGAAGCGTGGATCGACGAAACATGGGTGAATCGAGGTCTGGAACGGGACCGGCATATGGCAGAAAGGGAGCCGTTGGCCGTTACAGCGGGCCCAGCAGTGCAGAGTGGCAGCTTCACTGGCGGTGGCAGGAGCATGACGTGTGAGGGTTAGTGGTTGTGGTAGGAGTGTAGTGGTTGTGGTGATGGTGGTGGTGGTGGTGGTGGTGGGGGGAGATGGTGGGGAGTGAAGGTGAGTGGGGATGGTATTTGATGCGCATGACTGAGGATCCCCCGGCGTGATATGTAGCGACATTTGGGCAAGTAAGTAGTCGTATGGACTGGCAGAGGGAGTACAGAGTAAGTAGCAGGTAATATCGCGAGGACGCACAGGAATAGTGTGATTGCGCTCTCACTCGCTCTCGTGGCAGGGCGGCCAAAAGGGGGCGCAGATCGGCGGGTGTGTGGGCGAGGGTGGGGCGTGGCTGCGTGTGATTGGCGGACAGGCGACGAGGGCGGCCGTGTTTGATTACGAACCAGGAAATCACGTTATGTGCTTGGCGCTGGCTGCGTCACTCCCAGAAATTGCTCGCTCGTCCTGTCCTCTGACCTCATCGCGAACGCCTCACTGTCATCGTCACCACACGCACAATCCCCGTCCACCCGCCCCAATTTGAGCCTCATCGAGGTTCCAGCATCACGACCAGTACGCGCAAACCACGACTCCGCAGCGCGGTGCCAGTCGCCCAAGCCCAGGACCCAAGCCCAGCGCCATTGCTGCTTCGCTACGCCCTGCTGCGACGGCCACCCAGCGTCGCCCCAGGGGCTTGACGTCACCACTGAAATTCGTCTGCCAGAATCTCAACCAGCTCTGCCACCACCTCGCCCGCGTTCCACCGTATCGACTCTGTCCGATTCAGACGGCCCTACCCCGCATTGGCCGCCCGTCCTTTTCCCATTGCTGAGGTACGTAGTTGCGTCGCCCACGTCGCTGTTGTTGTTCTCGCGCCCGACTTTGCCACGTTCCCACCGCCTGCCACTGCCCCGGACCGCCGCCCATCATCTCTTCGGCCTGCAACCACGTCTGTCGCGTCAACGACTCCCAACCACCAGAGGCGCATGCGCTGACCCCTTTGACCGTGTTGTAGAAAGAGTAGCCCAAGCAGTTGCTCGACTCGCCCAGCCAGAGTGCGCGTGCCGAAGTTGTAGCTGCCACCGACACGTCGCGTTGCCCCCGGCAAAAGTGCAAATAAGACGAGACAAGAGACGAGGCCTGAAAGCACCACCAGGCGATCGCCCTCGTTATCCCCGCTACGTCACCACCCCAAAGTATGGCAGCTGCATCCCAGACTGCCCGAACCTCGTCCCCGTCCTCCAACATGTCCTCCCCCAAGGACAGCAAAAATAGTCTCACTGTCGTGACAAAGTCTGAAGGTGTGTAGCCCGACCTCCTGTCCCCTTGTCTCTTCACCCCCTGTATTGCCCGACCTCACCGCCGCCTCGTCATATCGTCGCATTGCTGCTGCGCCCGCCTACTGTGTTGCGCCCATGCATTGTCGTCACCCTCAACTTTCCCGACGCCCATTGCATCATCGCCAGCTCGTGCAAGCCTCACTAACCGTGGTCCTGTAGTAGAGCCTGTGGCGTCAGAGTCATCTCCCAAAGCACAGCGTAAGTAGCCCTGCCATTGACGTCCCCTCTTCTCCCCTTCGAGCTGCTGCTGCTGCTGCGTGCAGTTCCTTGTTGCCATCAACACAGCATGCTGACCTGTCCCCAGCTGCTACCACGGAAGCAGTCAGCTCTACCGACACAAAGCCCACGACATCCAATGCCCAGCCATTGGCTCCTCCACCAAAACCAGCACCCGCAACCACTGGCGATACACCCGATTATTTCAACACGGTACACAACCCCTTCTCCCTTGAGCCCAACGTTTTCGAGCAGTCCTTTGGAGGCGATTCTGGAAACCTGCAAACTCCTGGTGGCCGCCCTATTCTCCCCCCAGTCGCCAACATTACGTCACCTTCACCCCTTCCTGGTATCACACCTGGGTGGCAGGGCTTGCGTGCCGGTCCCTTGAGCCCTGCTATGCTCAGCGGTCCAACCGGACAAACTGATTACTTTAGCGAGTCATTCCGAGGCTTCCCAACACCGAACGAGTCCTCTCTTCGTACTGGTCTCACACCTGGTGGCGGTGGTTCTATGTTCCCAGCCCCCAGCCCTAACACACAAGCTATTTTCAATCTTCAGAGCGCTGGTGTCACGCCTGGAACTGCCGACTTCCAGCAATCTGCTTTGCGCGCGGCTGCCCAGCACCAGGCTAACAACAGCAACGCTAACAAGGCAACGTCCAACGCCCCTACGTCCCAGCCCGAAGCCGCACCTGCTGTAATGGATCGCCAAACCAACAACTACCAGGCACAACCGCCACAACAGCGCGCTCACAATGAACCGTATCCCAACCATGACGTCAGTAGCGCGGCTAACGATCTCTTGTCTTTTGCTAGTCAGAATGGTGCTGCCCGTAACAACCAACAGCCATACTCCATGGCGCCTCAGCAGCAGTCCATGAATGCTGGTCACATGCCTGTCCAACCTGTCAATGCCAACCACAGCCGTCGTGACACCAAGGGCTCTATTAACAGCGTTCAATCTGCAGAGACTGGAGATTTCTCAGAGAGCGGCCAGAGTGAGCAAGCCAAGACCGGCACACGGTCACGCGCGAAGAAGGGTGCCGCTAATGGCAAACAAGCTGCCGGTAACAAGCGAAAGGCTGAGGACGGTCCCAAGAACTCGCGAAAGAAGAGCAACGCCAACCAAGGTATGGGTGACGACATGGATGATGGCGACTCCGACGACGAGAACAACAACATCAAGGAGGAGGAGTACGACAGCAAGGGCCGCAAGATGACCGACGAGGAGAAGCGCAAGAACTTCCTCGAGCGCAACAGGTATGTAAACACACCTGCTTCCACGTCACGTTACTTACGTAAATTAGGGTTGCTGCCCTCAAGTGTCGACAACGTAAGAAGCAGTGGCTCGCCAACCTTCAGGCCAAGGTTGAGCTTTTTAGCACGGAGAATGATGCCCTCTCTGCTACTGTCACGCAGCTTCGCGAGGAGATTGTCAATCTCAAGACACTTCTCCTTGCTCACAAGGACTGCCCAGTATCGCAGGCCCAAGGTCTGCACGGCGCCGCCATGAACAACTTCCTTGGAAGTGACATTAACCACCAAAACCCATATGGCATCGCTCAAATGCAGCCTAATGGTGTCCACATGATGCCCATGCAGCAAGGCCAGATGATGAACCGGTTCGTATACCCACCCAATCGAAACACCTCACCCCACCAAGAAGACACCGCTCGTTACCCCTCCAATTACTGAGATTGTCGCTCACCTAGGTTCAGATAATTGGGAGTGAAAACGCTGTCATCATTCTCGTGTAACCCACGCGCCACTGGCAGCCTCGACGACCACTACCCTCCACTTACAACTTTGTAATCTCCGCACCTTCTCCTTCCTCTCCTTCTCTCTCGGACGCATCGACGTCACTCTCAGCAATGCATGCACTGGCGCTTGGCGTTGTGTCATTGTAAATCTCCTGTTGACATCCAGGAACTCTGCAATTTGGTCACTCTCCTCACATCACCTACTAGATTGCATTCATTCCTTATCGGGCCGGACACTTGGAACGGCAAAGGAATCCCGGGGGCTGGCCAATTGCTCAATGTGATTACGAAACTTGTCGTCTGCGACGTCGGATGATGACGACTTGTTCTTCGACATTCCCTTCAGTAAACTGTCTATGGGTGGGGTGTATATATGGTTGACGTTTGGGTTCATCATTTCACTGGCGTTGTGCAGGCACTTATACAACGATTCCTTCTCTTATTCACTTGTAGCGCGCCAGTCTAGAGTTGCGCTCGGCGTTTGTTTTTGGAGGGCATCTTCGTCGGCGACGACGTTTGGGCTTCGAGCCTTCCTTTCTTTTTCCAGGCGGGTGTGTTCTGGAGTAGCTTTTGAACCCGACACGATTGTTTTCTCGAGTCTACGGTTAACAATGGGGTCCATGGCGTAGAGAATTGGGAAAAGGGAAAATATATACCAACCGATTTTGTATAACGGCAATGTTTTTGGTTGGTATTGAGGGGAGGAATGTGCATGTACGTATACACGCAGACGTCAATGGCAAATGTTTATCTTGATGTCATTTTGTTTGAGAACGAGTGATGTCGGGTGATGTGATGTGATGTTGGTTGCCAGTGAGCATTTTGGAGTGGTTGTCGAGGCTGAGAGCAATTTCGTAATGTCATATTCCATGCGCTGTGGGGATGAGAAGTCGTGGCGCACCTTTCTCTGTTCTTAAATATGGCCATGGCTGGAAATTTCGCCTAAAAGTACAAAATATGGTGCGGATATCCACTCAACCATAGCTCATCCTCCCATACGATAGTGTGGATTTCAGGAAGTTGGTTTCCAATCAGATTACCGACGAAGATCATCGCCTTCTCTGAGAGTGAATGTAGCTTGTGCTTTCAAGTGGGGATTGTCGCTATTATACAATACATATGTTTGCTAACAGGATGGGCTATTGGCAATAAGGAAATTCTGGCTGCAAGACCTCAATCGATCTCTTTGACCCAGTCAAGCAATACTTCGGCACCCTTTTCCCACTCGACATGGTTCTGCAAATGGTGCGCCACTCCTTTTACGATTTCAAACTTTACACCGTTACAATCTGCACTCTCATCACTTGCAGTGTCGACAGAATCCTCTGACACGCCATCTAGTTTTTTCAGTCTCACGCAATCGAGGAATGCCGTACGGTAGCGCTTTGCGGCGTCTAGCAAGACGAAAGGTGTACAGAGGACGTCGAACTCAGCAGCAAGAACGAACAGTCTCGATACAATACCGGCTTTCTTACCCGCATTTGATTTCGTCGGTTGTTTCGGCTTCCACCCAACGATGGACTGGATGACATCTGGGCCTGTGACGATTGGAAAAAGCGCTTGCATGGCCCAGAGCATAGATTCGTATGGGCTGAGCAGGCGCTCCAAAGCTTGTACAACCGACCAAGGCGTCGACGCCGTAAAGAACGGATCTTTGACTTGCTTGGTAGTTGCAAGTAGATACCTAGAATGGAAGCAACGGTAAACAAAGTTCGGCAGTGCTGAACTGGCCCAGAACGCATAACACGACCACCTATTTCCACGTTAGCATCTTCCCCCCATCCGTCAAGCACCATACTCAACGAAAATGAGAAGGATAAGAAAAGGATAACATACGACCCAAACCCCGGCACAGCAGCAAACATACAAAACCCCCTCACCCTAACCAACCCCTTCCCCAACACCCACTGACTCAACGCTCCCCCCGCCGAATGCGCAACCAACACAACCCTAACCTTCTCTCCCTCCCCCCTCCTCCTCCCCTCCATCCCCTCCACCGCCTCAATCCCCGCAACCAGATCCCCCGCCATACTCCCTCGACTCGTAAAATACAAACCCAAAAACCCCGGATACCAACTCCCGCCATGACCCCGGTAGCTAACCGCATAACACGGATAACCCTTTGCGCTGAAGAATTGCATGTAAGGGATCCAGACTGAGGCGCAGCCGAA